CTTAGGAGAGACCAGCATCAAAGGCAGACAGTGAGGATCCTGGTGTAATCTTAGGCAACATGGCAAGGTCTCCCAGGGACCATGCATAAATACAAGAGACAGAGCTCTAGAACTGACAGCTTAGCTCTTCAATTTTCAGAAATTAAGTATATCTGAGAAAGGAGTACCAAAAATCCACCTAGAAAGAGCCACCAAGCCATGATTCAGAGATAAAGACAGTTACCCTGAAAGTAGAAAGGTATGTATCAGGTAGTGGTTATTTTTTTACTTTTATAACAAGAACAGAGAAAACAAAGGAGTCTGGTAGATGTCACAAACCTAAACATACGGTGAACAGCCAGCCACCTCAGACCATGTCTTCAAGAAATTATGCTGAGAACCGGAGTAGCAGAATGGGGTCAGCAACAGGAGGAATACAATACACTAAATCAAGAGAGCCTGTCTTTTTGACACTGATGAGAATGTTACAGACTTGGTTGCATTATGGTCTCAAAACAAACAAACAAACAAAAACAAAATAAGAACACAGCCCAAGGAGACCTCTTCCCTTTAAATCTGGTTCTGACTTGTTTCCATCAATAAAAGGCAGAGAAAATGGTGCTAATTGAGCCCTGAGCCTAACCCATGAAAACATCTGTGAATTCAAGGTCCTACAGAGCACCACTCAACTACAGAGAGGCAGAGTGGGAAGTACCACAGTGCGTTCTCTGATTCACCGGCTAGTTCACTACACTCACATGAGAGACCAGTAACAAGACCAGTAAACCAACTGCCCTAGTAAACTCAAGCCAATTTGTCAGTAAACGAAGGGACTGCTGTTTTAGCTCAACAAGTTTTATAGTGACTAAACTCCAGGAAGAGATCACCACAATGAAGAGAGAGATGACTTGGCTATGTAAGAGTAAAGAATGACTGGCGGAGTGAGTCCCAGTGGAGGTCTAGGACTTGTATCAAGGGAATAAAGGAGCAAAGTCCATTACCCTCAGCATGATCTGGCCACAGAGATCAGTTACATACAGAGCACAGGCAACACACACACTCCAATTGGAAGAGAAAGTACTAGGTTCTAACAACAGGACAAAAGGAACAGTACCTTTCATTTATACATCACTGTGTGAACAGACACAACAGAGTGGGATGCAGCAGAGAGAGGCCACTGTGAAGTTGTCTTTATAAAAGAGCCTCTGTTCTTGGGTGTCCTAGAACATCCAGCCCACAGGATGATCAGGTCACGGGTCTGTAAATACCTACCCTGCTTGCCGGCAATGCTGTCCCACTGTGGATATCTCCTCCCAAATCAAAGGTTGTCTCTTGAACGGCTCTATTGAGATGAAAAAGAAACATAAAAATTAAATTTCAACTGACAAGGTAGTATTCTTAACACAGTAAGAACAGATGAGTAATGCAATATTCAAATATCATTAATAAATTCATTTACTTTGGTACATAGACTTTTAAAAAGTAACAGTAAGTATGTGAACTTTTCTTATTACGAGGTACATCAAAAAACTCTCATGGTCCTACTTTTAAAACTACATGTGAACAACAAAATCAAAACACTGAGACTAGAGAGATGGCTCCAAGGTTAAGAGCACCTGCTGAGTCTGGTTCCCAGCACCCATGTGGTTGATCACAACCATCTGTAACTCTAGATTCAAAAGGTCTAATACTTCTGGCTTCTGTGGGCATCAAGCACAGGAATGCTGTACATGTACGTAGGCAAAACACTTATACACATAAAATAATAAAATTTAAATAATACAAACAAAAATCACATTTTCAATAGGAACAAGGATGAGGCAAGCAAACGACATTCTTTGGCACTAAAAGAGTAAATACAATACCCTGGTCCCAATCTAAGAGGAGAAGAAGCCCATGATGTCTGTAAGCCATCAGGAGCAAGGATATGGCTGTTTCTGAATTGTTCTAACATTTAAGAACGACATGGCTTAACTTCAAAGCTTCATCTAGAAGCTGAAACAAGGAAGTAACTTTGGGGTTCTGAGGGCTGTGTGATAATACACTGATTTGTGAATTATTTACCTATCTATTGATTATCCATCATGCACCTGTATGTTATTATTGTATTCTGAATCCTAAGAAAGGTATGATTCTTATAGCCAAAGGTTGTAACATGATGGCATCTCAGCCAGTATAAAGTCACTCTGGATTTGAGCTGGATTCCTCCCTACATGTGGTACACACACGCAAGTACATACATTACAAAAAAAATAAAAATAAATAAATAAGCAAACAAACAACTCGAGGTGAGAAGCTGGTCAAAGTGTCCTATCTGTGAAGGTGACCAGTGGTCCATGAAGTGAGTGGACCTCTGTGAATCTGAGGTCAGCCTGGACTACACAGTTGAGTTTCGGTTCAGGGCCATACAGAATCCACCAACATAGGTATATAGGTTGGTTTGGTTTATTTTTATACTCTTTGGGAGAAATTTACACTTCTGTGGACTTAGAAGTTTGTTTTAAATATCATGAGGAGCTATAGCACCTATCTTTCCAAAAGATACTTTACTAACCTATAAAATAGCTAAAAAGTGTATGTTTTCAAAATTATCACTAATGGAAAAGTCACTCTTCTCCAGAAGAAAGCTCATTAGTAGCCCAAACTGCAAGACCTCAGGAAAACACTAGGTGGAGCTAAAATGCTCTAAATTACTAAACAGACTCCCCCTTGCATTATTACCATGGTTCTCAGGGAGAAAAATATGAAGGACTGAAACTATATCAAGGAAAAGATTTTTAAATACTATTAGTTATACAGGGTGATAGTCCACCAAAAAAAAAAAAAAAGCAGATTAACTTTACAAGTAACTTTAAAACCAATTTCAAGATAAAGTCAGAAAAATCAAAAAAAAAAAAAATCAATCCAAATTTGTGACAAACTCCCATTTCATAAAAATGCACTTTGATCTTTTTAAAAAAATTATTTTAAATGGGTGAGTACTTAGCCTGCATGTATATATGTGCAACTTGTGTGTATGTACAATGCCCACATCAGGACCCTTAGAACTGGCCTAACAGACAGTTATGAACTTCCTGATTCAGGTGCTGGGAACCAATCTAGGATCCTCTGTAAGATCAGCAACTGTTTTTAAGCACTAAACCTTATCTCCAGATCCTGCTTCACTTTGATTTTTTAAAACTGAAAATTTAAGGATGGGGAAAATGGCAGCCTGACAACCTGAGTTTGAGCCACAGGACCCACAAGTAGGAGAACCTACTCCTGTGAGATGTCCTCTCAACTCCAGAAAAAGAACAGACACACACGTACATACAGAAATTTAGAAAATAATGTAATAAACTGTAAATAAAGATATTTTCATCTAATTGAAATTACTTTATAGCCAAAACATTCTAAAATCCTTAAGCTGATCTATCACATTCACCCAGGTTTATGTCTTGGGCCCTTGACCATCAGGCCTCCATCCACAGATCTCTTGGAAAGAACGTGGTCCTGGATGGGGTCCACAAACTTAAACACATGCGAGGTGCCAAACTGCAGTCTCATGCCACTCTGCAGCATTGTGGTCTCTGAGATGCGCTGACCATCCACGTAGGTCTCTGCATCCATACTTCTGGGGGTCACAGTGACCACTCCATCCATGTTGGTGAGATCACAGTGATGGGGCTGAATTCCAGGGCCAAAGAGCTGAGACGAGAAGAAGAAGAGTTCCATCATGAAGCACACAGTGTGCAGAGTTCTGTTGTGATGAATGAATGCAGTCTAAGAAGCCCTCAATTCTCTGTTTTCTTAAGTGGGTTCCTCTCTAATAGTGTAAAACCATGTCAGGAAAGCTGGATGCTGTTAACATCTAAAACCTGTTGTCAGGCAGATTGTAACTCAGTTTTACTAATCATATGACGGCCTAATCAGTAGTTATGGTCCTTGGCAATTTGTATGAGGTCCTGACTTCCAACCCCAGAACACACACATGAACCATGAACACACACACACACTCTGCTAGCAACAGTCCCATTTTATTAACACCATCCTGAAACAGACCTATAAACTGTTATCAGCACCTTCACTTTCTAATCAGAAGTAAACACTCAGAGAAGAATGTTACAACCAGTCCATGTTTCCATGTGTGCATTTTGGATACAGACAAGCCATGTTCTCTCCACACTAAACCAGAGAAAAGTGAGCCAGAGAGGGTAAGTGGCATATTCAAATCCAAGGTCTGTCTGTCACCTTCATTCATTGCCTTGCAGCTGGTTCCTTGATAAGTGCTTACTAATTACTGATAGGAAGAACTACCGTAAAGGCTTGGACAGCAGACATGATCAAGTACCTGGATAGAATTGTCATCGAACTTCTCTGTCCCAACTTCAGTCACACTTAACTGAAGGCGGTATAACTTTGGCTTGTCTCTGGAGTCAGAGCCATCTGTGTGAGAAAAGAGAAGGCACAGAGTTCTGTTTGTCATGTCTGATGTTCTTATGCTTAAAACAAACAAGTTTTCTTATTAAGGATAGCACACTTTTACTTCTCAGGATTTCTTTCCAAGGAGTTGATTTTCCAATAAAACTTAACCAGATACAGAAGCCAAGCAGCCTCTGCTCGAATGGAATGTATTCTGTCACTGATTCCAACACTCTCTAATTACGAGTTTTCCTGCCTGTTCCCTCAATACTCCCTTACTGACTCTGAGGATGGAACTGTACCGAGAACACAGAGGAAGACCACATAAGCCATTACTTCAATGCAGTGCCTTTGTAGGGCAGACATACCATGCACCCTTACACTTCACAGCACAGCAGAGCTGGGGGGGGGAGGGGGAAATGGGGTTTTTAACTGAGCAACCCTGCAGCTCACCCAGATCTCCTGAACCACAGTCCTAAGAGTAAGTCTCATGTGATTCCAATGTCTACCACTGATAATAAATACTAATGAAATGTTTAACTCCCTTGAGAAGAACTAGAGTCAAAGACAGAAAATAATTTTTTGCTTTTTATTTTTAATTAGTTTTTTTTAGAATTTCATACATGTTTTGATGATGTTCACACCATACCCCAACTCCCCCAGATCTACCCAGCTTTTGTACCCATCCAACTTTGTGTTCTTTAAAGAAAATGTGTATTGAAATTGCCATAAACGCTCTGTGATAGGGAAGGGGCTGGAGGAGAGGAGGTAGAAGACCTCTGTTTTCAGAGTTAACATATGACCTCACAGAACATGTGTCCCTCACAGCAGTTAGTATGCACCAGGCTTCTACCACAGCCCAACATTCAGTGTTACGTTGCAAAGGTTTCCTTTAGAAAGTAAGTCTCCCCAGTCTGTTTCATGATTGCCCAAGTAACTTTCAGTCACTTATGCAGATCTTAAGTCATTGGAATCAAATGTTAGTTAGCTATGAACGGTTCAGAGGTTTAGAGGGCTCTGGTGTGTACACAAAGGCTGCTAAGTCTCGCAGCTGCGATGTAGTCTGAAATCTTAAAAACGAAGGATGTCATGAATATCTAGTTATCTAGATCTAACTTTAGAGTACACAAAATAGCATTCCACTGATAAAACGTTCTATTTCTGAATTATCAAGATCTGTAGCAACTGGGTGAAGGTAAGAGGAGACCAGGGTATGTCAGAGACATATGCCTTGTATGGACCTCCCAAAATGGACTGTCTGTGTTGTTTCTTTTAAGGTTGGAATATTTTCGTCTCTAACTGTTCTCATAAACTCTGGATTTCAATGAGACATCAAAATCACAGAAGCTAAATATTGTGGTGCACAATTAATTTCAGCACTTTGGAGGCTGAGTTTGAAGGAAAAGAAATTTAAAGCCAACAACACATTAAGACTCTGCCTCAAAAACAAAACCAAGGCTTGTGGCCTTTTCCTGGACATAGATTCCTCCCATCCTGGGAGGTTTACTGTTGTGTTTCCTCGACTGTCACAGGCAGGTCACAAACTGTGCCTTTCCTACATTCAGAGCACAGGAACTCTATACTATAAAGATTCTCACTGAATAGGCCCCCATAAGCTGCAAGCTCCTTGGTAGCTAGGCCACACTGGCCTTCTTTAATAATTAATGTTCTAGAGCAGTTATATTAACAGAGAAAGCATAATGCAATACAGTCACACAAACTACACAAATAAGTTACAAAGGATCAAAATAAGTAACCATGTGAGTTAAGTCATGTGAGTTAGAACATGGAAGACATGTCTATTAGGAGCAGTATCTACATTACTGTTCTTCTGCAGCTAACGAAGGGACACCACACATTGTGACACCAACAGACAGGACTTCATTCCCAGTCTCTCCTTTCTTCCTACTTCACCTCAGCAGAAAGCCAGAGACAACCTTGTATAGAGTACAGAGAAGCTAATGACTCCAGGACCAGTGGGTGACAGGGCACCTAGTCCAAGCACAGGGGGTGCTGGCAAGTAAGAAGGCCTGGAAGAGCTTGGTGCCTCTGACCTCTCTCCCCATGGCCGCCCACCTCCAGCTCTGGACTGGAAGGAAGCTCATGGTCACAAGCAGGAGTGTTATGGACGTCCCTTCAACCTCCATTCCAACTGTCCCCTACCTCCAGGGAGCACTCTATAGCCAACTGTCCACAGCACCTGAGTGCCTCTCCAGTGGAAATGAGGATATCTGAAGCACTATAGGCCAGCCATAATCAGACTCATGGCAGACACAAAGCCCTAGCTAAGTTTCAAAATGCAATTTTTCCTCAGATTGTGACATATTCACATATATTTAATATACTACATATGTGGGGTGGAATCTATGTTTAATATAAACCCTATGACCATCTAATGTATAGCTAATCACACAGCCTCACAGGAAACTTGACCCAACATATTTCAGGTGCCTGGGTGATAACTACATCCATTACACAAGCCACTTTCCCTTCTGGCTTCACATCAGCACTTAAAACATTTCAAATTTTGGGATGAGGAATGCTTAGCTTGTTCTGGAAGTATGAAAGGGACACAGGCCATAATACAGCCCAAGAGCACTTAATGGCCCTTTGTTTGCATGCTACAAGTCTTCATTCAATCCTCTGCATTCACTTCCCAGAGGGAACTTGGAAAAGACAAGCAATTAAAAGGGGCCTTCCAATAAATTATCTGGGTTCTGGACATGGACACTAAATAGACATGAATAGAAAGCCAGCATGTTATACTTCTTACACATACAGTATCTGCTTAGTCAACATTGTTCACCTAGGAGGTCCTGTTAGTGCCCCAATTACAAAAGTAGTATTAAGCATAGCATTACCTTCGTAAGTGTGATAGCTGTAGTAGGCAAAGTGATTCCTTCTCCCTGGGATTAAGAGACATGCCAGGACCCAGGTGAAGGCAGCATCAGCAGGACAGAGACCATGCAAAACAGGTGGGAGAGGGAAGGAGGAGAAGAGATGCAAAGGGTGAGCTTCAGTGAGATGCTTCAAAGGAAGAACTGGCACATTGTACCCACCAGCATTCAGAGCCGTGGGGAAAAGACTACAGTAGACCCAGTCAGTGTTTTAGAAACCAGTGCAGACTGTTAAGGAAAACAGCAGGTTAACAGGTGAGGCACCACGCAGCGGGACAGCTTGTGTTAACAATGAGTTAACCTGATAGGTTACCACCCTACTAGCTAGTTCCCTCCATTTAAAGAGCACATTCAAATCCAACACACAAGAAAATCAGCACCCTGGCTTCCACTCTTCTGTAATCCTGTAAACACTCAGAAAACTCCTGCCAGTACCTCGCAGTCTTCCACAGAGGCCACACACTTGACTGACAATGTGTCTAATGCAAATATAGTCCTTATCCACTCACAACCTATCAATATACATGAACATTTCTCATAATGGAAAGTATTTACTCTGCTATCATGACACAGCTCCGAGGCAACAAAGACCTTATTTTAGCACTCAGGCCTGCCAGCAAAACCAACACCTTTAGAACAAAAGCAGTGTTTCCTCATCTTGGAAATGAAGGCAGTCCTTACAAGCTTGGAAGGAAGTGAGGATCTGGAGAGGCGCTGAAATTGAACTGAGTTCATTACCTGGCATCAGGGACAGTCTTAGTCATCTTCACATCCATTGATCTGTCTACATAGGGAGCTCAATAAATGTCGCCCAAAGGTTAGAGAGTGCTAAGGAAGGCACTAGTGAATATGCAATTGTGTTGTTGCCAGTATTTGATGAAAAGTAGTACAGAACTGCTCTTTAGGGCTGGAGAGATGGCTCAGTGGTTAAGAGCACTGACTGCTCTTCCAAAGGTCCTGAGTTCAATTCCCAGCAACCACATGGTGACTCACAACCATCTGTAACAAGATTTAATTCTGTCTTCCGGTGTCTGAAGACAGCAACAGTGTACTCACATACATAAAATATTTTTTAAAAAGAGTGTTATTTAAAAAAAAAAAACAGAACTTATCTTTATCCAGGGCCTATCATCCTTTAGAAACAAAACAATATTAAATGCATGTGGTTATCTGAGAGACAAGTAAAAACCATGGAAGCAGTCATTAGATAGGAGGTTTGGGTCAGTCTATGCTGTTACCACTCTATGTCTGAAGCCCAGAACGCTGTGTGATGTAGCCTCTCTGCTGTCTACCAAAGTCTATTTTCTACTGCACATTTAAAGATCACTGTCAACTGCTAACAACTGAGACTCCTCAACTACCACACGTAACTTCTACAACCACTGCAACATTTCAGTGGACAGACTCATCAGTTAAAACTCAATGGCATTTTCACCGTTTCTCCTCCTTCCTTCAGGTAAACAAGCACCATGTCCTTACATCACAGACAGGAACACAGGATGTCTCTGACTAACAGTAAACTCAAGTCCTCAAATATAATATATATGAAACTACTACCCTAGGAACCACACCACCTTGGCCATAAACTAGAGTGGCTCTCAAACATGACTGTTCTGCTCTGCATCAGTGTAACTCGGCTGTCTCCTAAGACTGTTCAATCACAAAGGACATAGCTAATCTCTAGTTAATTATAATAGCCAGCAGGGAGAAACTGAAGCAACCTTAGAAATAAAAATGAGCACCACATCTGAAGGAGAGAAGAAAACCTGCCCAAGGAACTATATTATTTATGTAATATATTCTTCTTAATGCTATTTATCTGTAATTACTGACTTTTCATTTCCTAACTAGAAGAAAAGTAGATGAAGTATCTTCATAATATTTAAAAATACAGGCTACATAATGCCATTTTAACTAAACTGGAAATGATGTAATTTCGGCTGACTAATAAACATGTCACATAGAGCACATTCATGCTAATACATGGGGATGTGTGTATCTGTAACATACTTACACAATGTCAGTGTATTTGTCTACCTAGTGACTGACTTATGACGACAGCTTCAGCTTGCAAGAATTCTGTGGTATAATTAGAAGAATAATATGGAAATAAACTTATGCTATTTTAAAACAGCCTAGTAGTTACTGTGATAGGTTTCAAAGACATAGTTAAATCTAATAAACACTGTACATATGTCATAACAATTAATATAACCCCTCCCTTTCTCTCTCACATACATATACAGAGGTTGACTCCAGGAAGAGTACATTTCAATTTGTTCCTAGTACATTAACTAAAGTTACTTTGGAAAAGTTTTCTTAAAAGGAACCGATTATTTAAAAACTTTAAATACTACTTATTACTTTAAAGCTTGTGGTATATTTATTTTTGTCCACATGAACTTAATTTTTGTTCATAAATTAATGAATTCTATGGCCTTAAGTGTATTTTTTTAGCTTTTTGAAAAATAAATGCCATTTTATGAATGTTTGATTTCTTACGTAAACGGACACAAATACATTAGAAAGTAGAAACATTTGTAGTAAAAACATGTTTCCTACTCTACTCAGCTTTCTCACCTGGGCTTAGCTCTACTAAGTAGGGCAGCTTCTCAGGAGGAAGAGCAGAGCCGTAGCCAGAGCTGTCAGCTCTATCTTTCCCCTTCAATGGCTTCCCTTCAACATGTTTCTTCATTTTCTTTGGGATGTAGTCCGGTGGTCTCCTCTTCAACTGGAAGACTAAAATCCCTGGAACAGTGACAATGGCAATTATCAGCCAAGCAAGCCAGGGGGATGATCACTGACTGACAACCACTGGCCCAAACAAAACCAAGAAGACATATTTTAATAACATCTGCAAAGGAGTAACAGGGCAAAGCTCACACAACTGATATCTTACTCAGTGAAGGATGAACTAGTCTAGTCTGTGTGCTCTGAAAAACTCCAAATAAGCAAGATAGCAAGGACAACATATACTAGTAAATGGCACATTACTTTATAAATAAACTTGCACTTGTAGCAGCCTTATCAGTAAACAATCACACACAAATACACACATACAAACAGCTCAGCTGACCTGATTTCTATTTAATTCAAATGAATTAACTCAAAATTCAAAACAATTTTCAAAATAAACTGCTTTAACTGTTTAGAATACTGTAGAATGTATAATAAAGCTAGAACTGCACCTATTCTTGGGGTTTTTGTTTTAGGGGGGTTGTATTTTAAACTATCCATCTACATGCAATATTCATATGCTAAGGAAGGACTGTTGTGTCTTCATTAACGTAAAGGCACTCACCTAGAAAGTCGACTATATCAATCTTAATGAAGTAGAGGAAAGTATCTGCACAGTGACAAATGTGCATACATTACAAGTTGAGCATCCCTAAATCCAACACCTGAATTTGGAATTGCTGTTTTCCAAAACCAAACCTCATGACAGGGTACACGTACAACATCAACACATTAAGAATCATGTGCCGAATTATATGCAGGCTGTGTGTAAGGTGTGTGTTAACATAAGAACGGGTCATGCTTAGACTTGGATCCACCTCCAGAGTATCTCAAATACTTCTGCGTTCTCAGTTCTGAATTCAGATTGCTCAGCCTGTATCTGAAGTAACTATGTTACTAGACAGTGCTCAGGGGTACAGGTTACTGTCCAGGTCCTAACAAACTTGCTCAAACACCACGTAGCCCTTGTGCTCAGTATGGACACAGTTTTGCAGGTCATCTTTAACTACAACCAGTAGTCTGGCATCTCAGCTGCCATGTCATCTGCAAAAGATACTTCAATGAGCTGAGACTGCACCTGCAGGCCAAGGTACCACCGGGGAGTTATTCAGCAAGTCTATGAAAAGACTGGAAACTAGAGCCAAAATCCATCACCAACCCATATTCACACACACATTTTCCATATCACCGGATGAAGAAGAGGTAGGAGAATCTGGCTGGTGGACTAACAAAGTGTACTCTCTATACCTTTATCACTTGGCCACTCCCTGAAGATCTGTAAAGGACATTCATCGTCATCAAGAATTATTTCCTTAGCACCTCTCTCATCAGAATGCTGGGCTCCAGGAGGAAGCATAACCTAAGGAGAACATAATTTACAGTGAATATACCTCAAAAGCAGATCAGCAAGTGCTCGGGGAAGTCCTGCCACCTGTGCTCTCAGTCTACAGACCAGACTGGCCTCCTGAATACTGGTGTACTCCTGTACATACCTACCGTCAAAGTGCTGTTCTGAACAAGCATACATAGATAGATAGATAGATAGATAGATAGATAGATAGATAGATCCCATCAAGCACTATAAACAATTTCTACTGGTCACTGAAAAAAAAAAGACTAATAAAGGATAGCCAATTTGGCAACTATTCACCTAGGTCTTAAGAAAAATTGTGCTAAGTATTTGCATTTATTACAAACTTTCACATGAAAAACCACATAGTTAGCCTTCAAGTAATTCCTTAAAGAAAGATAACTCCTCTACTACAGTCCTCCGCAGTCCCTATCCCATCTTTCACATTCAAGCAAATATTTATGAAGTAAATTCGTATAATCCAAAATCTTAAACTACAACTCAAAACAGTTTTTACTGTAGACAACCATATGGTGTCATTTTAAATATACTGTTTAGGTATATTACATAACTGTTTTCAGGCAAATGTTTGATAATCTCGTGCTCACTGTACTCGTAACAATGCTGTTTCTGTTTCTTATGCATGTCTACTGAGGCCAACTTCTTATTCACTCAAGACTCCAATGGGCGAGGAATGTGGCTGATGCCTCTACAGACACTTGGGGTTTACACCCTCTGATTCAGTGCAAACAAACATGAGAAGCCAAGCCACAGTGTCAACATCTTAATTAAAAGGTCTGACTGCAACAGACTTTAACATGCAAACCTTCCATCATGCTTAAACACAAAACAGATTAAACAATTCTGTAGAAACCTATTGTTCCTTTGTACAAGGCTTCAAATTAGCCTAAAAAGAAAATGAATAACAACATCTCCATGCTAAACTTATTGGTTTTCATTAGCACACTTTATTTTATATCCTACGTCTTCCAGACCTGACCTTCACTTATCTACTCAGCCTCTCTTTGTAAAAGCCATTCACTTTAGGCCACAGGCACATGGGTGCACTAAGAGCCCACAGTCCAGGCCACCCGCAACGTACATCACAGAGCACTCTCTAGTTTGAAGACAACTGTCTCTCTTCTTCTTGACCTTTTGGTCTTTTTTATTATAATCTCTTTTAGGGGCAGCTCTTAACTTTGTATTCTGGCAGAAGAGTTAACAAAAAGGAAAAACTTAAATGCTCAACAAAGAATTATGTGAATAAATAAAGTGAAAGAAGGCTATGAATCAGCTATAGTTTACTATGGCAAGCTGGGAATATAATGCAACTCTAATTCAGGTAAAATCATTAACTAGGCTGCCTCAGCTTGCTCAAGAAAGCTGCTCAGACTGAGCAAAAGGCCGAAGTACCACAGTTCCTCCAGAGGCATCACACAAGCTCAAAAGGACCATCAGTGAAGCCCAATGTCTACCTCTGTAATTGGAGGTCCCTGAGAAATGGTTACTTCACTTTCTAATTTTGATAGTAAAAACAAATCACTTAGTTTAAAAAGATGAAGATGCTACAATGTTCATTATCAGAAACCAAACCATGTAGTTCCATGGAATATTAATATCTGACTTATATTAAAAACCTCTCCTTGTCATACAATTTAGCAATGCCACGTTTCAGGAAAGATATACATTTAAAGTGTAGGCAAGAAAGATACAGAGATCAACAAAGTACAACAGACTATACAAACTGACTCACACAAATGAAGGTGACTGAACAGAGCACTCAGAGGGAGAGACAACAAAGCCTTTCAAAACACTGCTGGGTCAACTAGGTATCTCAATAATGAAAAAGATAGCAACATTAACTTAAAATGAACATCCTGATTTATATAGAAGCTAAAATAAAAATAAAATTAACAAGAATGGGCCAGCAAAATGGCTCCGTGGGTAAAGGTACCCGAGAGTTAAAGCAGTGTCTTGGGAACAGCACAGAACCACAGCATTCATAAACTCAGCAGGAGCTGCTGTTGCCTGCACAAGACCAGATAAGATCAGCCAGTCAACATCCCATCATAGAGCAGAGAATGGCTCCCAAGCCCACCCCGAAGCTAAAGGAGCTACACAAAGCTTCTTCTGCAGGAGCGAGAGTGGTCCTTGGTAGACTGACCATGCTTAGTTGATGGCTCCACACCCATGAATAAATATATTTTAAGCTGAACTGAACTGAACTGAACTCAGTGAGTTATTAAAAAAGAAAAATAAAAGAATGAACATAAAGCTGAACAAGGACAGGGGGAAAGCTGGAGGAGGAGTTAGAAGAGTAGGGACAGGGAAGTGAATACGATCAAAGTACATTGTATGCACTATGAAATGACCAAAGAATAAAAATATTAACAACAACAAACACTTAAACCAACAGGCATGACAGCACATGTCTATAAACTCAGTGCTAGAGGAGAGGAAACAAGGTCCTGAAACCCAGAGGGCAGCCAAGTCAGTGAGCTTCAGGTTCAGTTTAGAGACAGCCTGCTCAAAAAATAAAAGTGGAGAGCGATAGACAAAGGCACCATGTTACCCACACCCACAAATAGATGAAATGGTTTTTAATTACTTGCTGTAATAAACCACCAGCTATCTTTCTTTTAAAATCTATTACGATTCATTTCTCTCTGCTTCCTGACATGGATAAAATGTGACCAGCTGCCTCACAGTTCAGCTGCCATGGATTCCTACCACAATAGACCAAACCCTCAAATCACTGAGCCAAAACAAACCCTTCCTTCCAAAGCAAAGAACAAACTACTGTTAGTTATAACTGGACACGTGCTAAAGTAAATAAGTATACAATTATAACTGACACAGAGGCTAAGAATTTCTAATTGGTTTATGGCTAAATAGAAAATCTAATGTTTTACTTACTGCTAGAAATCAATTTCAGGATACAAACAATCACTCTACTCCTAGTGTCACATGCAGAGAATACCTCTGAGAAGCTGCAGGTGATCATGAAAGAGGACTTCAGTATAAAGACAATTCTGTTACCTATGCTGGCTGATCGTGAATGTCAACTAGGAGCACTGAGTGTGTCTTTAACTGTGTTCAGTGTTGGCTGGCCTCGTAACTGAGGTGGGGAGACCAGCTCTGGATGCAGCACCAACATGCTGGGGGCTTAAACAAGACAAAAGGAAGGAAGCAGGAGGCAGCAGCATGTGCAAGCCCTACACTTCCATCGCTGCCGCCCCTGCCTGGACATCACGCCCAAGCTTCTTCAAGTCTTTCAACAGAGGATCACAGCAGTGGCTCTGGGGAGCCGTCAGACCTTCAGCTTCACACCAGGACTACACAACCGGACCCTCTGTGTATGCAATCCCCACATCTTAGACTGAACAGCCACCAGGTTCTCTCAATCTCCAATGTACAGCACTGCTGAGACTATGTATAACCTTGGTTATACTCCTCTTGGTTCATATAATATATGCACAAAATAAAAACTGGAAGAATGTCTATCAAAACTATAATGGTGAGGTTAACTTTGGTAGAATAACTTTGGGCTACATTTTGTTCAATTTATCTTTTAAGAACACAAATTCGTTTTTATTACATTTGTTTACTATTCCTCTATGTTATGTAAGAAAAGGGAGGGTCATGAATATGAGTGAACACAAACCAAAATTTACAAAAAAAAAAAATTCCTTCCCTTTAAATGCCAAGTCTTATCATGAACAATCCTGGGGAGAAGTCAATTTGTAGCTACATACCCGGGCAATGCAGTAGTCCTTGGGATTCTCTTTTTCCAGACCATATTTCTCCAAAGACTCTGCTACAGCAAAGTCTGCAGGATCTGTAGTAGACAGCAGGATTGTCTTGTATGGAATATTTGGTTTTAAACTGTCTGCATATATCCTCAGTGTTCCACCTGAAGAAAGAATTTTACATCTTTGAGTACATCTTCATTTTAGGTCAATGACAGAGGCTGCTAACACTGACGATCACTAGGAAAGCACCAACTACAGTGGTACACATACATCTAGTATGGACCTGGGGCTGGCTTCTATAGCAGGGAGATAGGCGACTCCACACTCTTCTGTCCTGCACTTCTCTTCCCCTGTTCCCAACTTCCTCAACCCTGTAACCACAAGACCTGCTTCCTCCAGTTCTACTTTTGAAGCTTTCATCTGAAGCAAACAGAGCCCAAATACATCAAGGATCAGTTTCACTAAACAAGCCAGTGTTTTAAAAATGAGCTAGGAAACAGAAGAACCTCAGGTACTTAAGACTTCCACGAGGCATTTGCCACCACTGTGGGGCTATTCTAATCCTAGACACTACAAATTAATTGCTTTATGTAGGTATACAGTCATTTAAAGGACCTGGAGGTAGGAAGGACAATTTAGATTTGTTCCCTTCTCAGTGGAAATATACATATGTCCACACTATTATCAACTTGACTCTCTTAATCTATTTTCTCTTACAACTCATGGTTAAGAAGCCCTGAAACAAAGCAGGAATACTGGCTCAAGTCTTTATCCCAGCATTCCAGCAGAGGCAGGTAGATCTCTCTGAGTTCAAAGCTACAAAGTGAGTTCCAGGATAGCCAGAACTATATAGTGAAACCCTGTCAAAGAAAGGAAAGAGAAGAAAGAAAGAAGGGAGGGAGGAAGAGAAGGGAAGAAGAGAGAGAAAAGAAAGAGGAAGAACACAGAGGAGAAAGAGAAAAAGAAGGAGGAGGAGGAGGAGGAGGAGGAGGAGGAGGAGGAGGAGGAGGAGGAGTTCTAGAAGAAGCCAGCCAATGCATGTGCAGACTGCAGAAAAGAAACAGGACAGTGTAGACAAGCGGGCAATGCAATGCCTACAGAGGAACTGCTCAACTACTAAATCTGAAGACAATGAAATGACCGAAATATTTGACATCAAAGGTGTACTTGTAAAAATGATTTCCAGAGGAAACAAGCAAGCAGTCGAAGGAAGGAAGGAAATCAATTCAAGCTGTAGAAGAGGAGAATGACGTAAAACAGTGCCATGGGCTGGTGAAATGGCTCAGTAGCAGGGGCACCTGCAAGCAAATCTAATGACCTAGTCCATGACTTCCGACCTTCACACGTTCTCAGGCATGTACGTACCTGCATTCACATGTGCATTCACAAAATCAAATAAGTAAAACTTACAAAGAAGATAAGAGTCAGCAAAACAAGAGAAATTGAGCAAGGAAATTGCCATTTTAAAAATCTACTAACTGAAGCCGGGCAGTGGTGGCGCACGCCTTTAATCCCAGCACTTGGGAGGCAGAGGCAGGTGGATTTCTGAGTTCCAGGCCAGCCTGGTCTACAGAGGGAGTTCCAGGACAGTCAGGGCTATACAGAGAAACCCTGTTTGGGGGAGGGGGGATCTACAAACTGAACTATATCAGGCACTTTTTGGATCAGCTATACTTTGAAAACATCAGAGTGAATATATCTGAGTGTTGTTTTTAAATGCTTTACAAGTCTAGGAGCAAAGCCTGTGTGAGCTGTGATGCTTGATCAGCTTCCAAAACCCAGCTAAGGATATGACAGCTGCATCAGGTTCTAGGATGCTCTGTCCCCGAGCTTGTTCAAAGAATCAACCACAGCACTAGCACACAGCCATAGTGGGCTAGCTATCAGGGTACACTTTTCTCAGGGGTTTATTATAACAGACAAAAATAGGGCAGGAGAGATGCCTCAGTGCTTAAAAGCTCTTGTGGCTGTTTCAAAACACCCAAGTTCATGTCCCAGCTTCACACAGGCCGCTGCACACACATGCATGCATGCACACATGCACTACATATCTTTGTTTTTAAACTGACAAAATATTGAACCTAATAAATGAATTGTTGACTTCCTTAGCAAACTGCTACTTTCCTGATATTATTTAGTTTACTAGAATTTCTTGGATATTATAAATATATAAAAATGGTTTGACTTCAAACATTCCTTTAATAAGCAAGTTCTATTGATTTTCTAATATTTCTCCTCCTTATACTGGGGATTTTTCTTTGCTTATTCTTCTTTTGTTTTGTTTTGCTTTGAGATGTGGTCATAGTTTGTATCCCAGATTAGCCTAGAACTAACTCCAAGGTCAAGGATAGACTTGTGGCAATCCTCCTGCCTCAGGCTTCCAAGTGCTGGAATTATAGGCATGAGTCACTATGCTAGCAAAACTTCTAGAAACAATTTTTTGGACTTACATACACTAGAGGAAGCATGTGCTCAACACTATGTGAGCTTAGCTCAAGTATTTGAATCTTTATATTTTCTTTACAATTTGCAACCTCCTAAAAAAAGTAACTGTCCATAGCAAATATCAGGCTTTGATTTTTGAAATATGGTTGAATTATATAGCTAGGCTGGCCTCAAACTAGCAATCCTCCCACCTCAGCCTCCTGTGTCTGAGAGTAATGAGCACACACCACAATGCTCGTTGACTTCTTTTAGCCGGCTGGATCTGCTGTACTTTCTACCCAGTGACTTTCCCACACGTGGGTGGGGATGACAGCTCCCTACCACACAGGTTATCTCTCGTCCTCCCTTTGCATCTGACATTGCTGCTAGCTCTACAGCCAGTCATCATCTACCCAAGTTCACCTCCAGTAAAAGCCAGTCTATCATCAATCCCAACCTCATGCTACCTCTCGGTATTCTTCAGCTTTCTCTTTATAGTCTTTCAGTGTGGGGCAGGAGGTCAGAGGTCATGCTTTATGTGGGCAGTGTAGTACTTCCATGGCTATGTTGGTTTTTAGCACAGTTCCCTCACAAGCATCCTACACTCTGCTTTCATGGCAATCTCTCCAAATCCGAGGCTAAGGCTTATACAAAAGTAGCTATGTCCCAACCTTAAAGCTCTTTGGCAGCTTATTACAAAACATAAAGAAAATTTCCATCAAGTACTGCCAATAACTATGAGAAATAAATACTGGGGGAACAGGCCATCTGTCTGACATTCAATAAGCTTACTATTTTCTTGAAAATATATCTCAATGCTGCATTCAAGCCCACACTACAAAATACTTTGTCTGCAGGAATGTTTTATCAACCAAGTTAAACGCTGACACTCAGCCACTGTCTCCCTCATGACTCCCACACTCCTGAGCTCTTATCTGACTCTTCCTCAGGCAGAACCAGGGTTTCATTTTCCAAAGCTCACTCCGTGACAATGCTATGGCCTTCCTATAGTCCAGAAGTATCTTCAGGCAAGGCACGTGGTTAGCACACATGCGTATTTCTGAGCACTCCCTCTGTTACCTGTATTCTTCCTTATTTTTTCAAGACAAGGTTTCTCAGTAGGATGCCTCGAATTCAGAGAACTGCCTGTCTCTACCTCCGAAGTGTTTGGATTCAAGGCATGTGTTGCAGTAAATCTCCAACCCAAATATGACCGGTCAAAGAAAACAAGTTTTAGTGTTTCCTCTAATTGAAGACACAGGAAATTATAGATCAGAATAAGAGACAGAAAGATGAAAATGAAGGTTGGAGATAGAAGCTGGAAGAGATGCTAGAACAGGAATTCCGGAAGTTTATAAGTGAGTCTGAGAAACAGGGAGATAAGCTTAATACTTGGCAACATAGCCTAGAGGAAACACTAGAACTAAAGGTTCAGGATTTTATTGATCAAAATAAGCAACAGAAAGAGAAGACAACAGAGGAGGAAGACGAAGGAGAAGGAAGACAACAGAGAAGCAGGAGGTGGAAGGACAAACACAGGGTCTGGAAAACCCACAAGTTATAAGGGTCTCATAGCTGGGGAATAGAGTAGTGAAGTGGTGAATCTGCCCAATCTAGGCGTGCAGCATATACTCGTAATTACTGAGTTGTGTTTTCTTTGACCTGTCTTATTTGGGCTGGAGATTTACAGGTATGCACCTCCTTTTTTTTTTTTTCCTATACATAAATTTTGGTACATGACAGAATAAGACAGAGTACAGAATCCTTAAACAAAATCCTTTGCCAGAATAGTTATAGAACCAAGAAGCCCTCATTATTCTCAATTCATTCTCTCTCTCCCCCTCTTCTCTCTCCCTTCCTTCACCCCTCCCCCCCATGTGTGTATGTGTGTGTATGTCTGTGTGCGTGTGCGTGTGTGTGTTTCTGAGCAGATCTTAGAATGTAGTCCTTAAGACCTAGCCCTAAAACTGCCTCAGCCTCTGTTGTGGTTTGAGTGTGAAATGTCTCAGGTGTTTGGACACTTTGGTCACCAGATGGCTAACAGTGTTGCTAGGCAATGTTGCTGAACCTTTAGGAAAGTGGGACTCTCACTGAAAGGAACTGCTTGCTGGACGGAGCATTGAGCTCCCCCCACACACAAACTTTTCTGTTCATTCTTTGCTTCCCGAGTGCAGATGCAATAGGACCAGTCAGGTCCCTGTTCACACTATCCTGACGACTGCCATGTGTTCCTCACCATAACAGACTGTATACTCTCGGAACTGTAGGTTAAAATAAATTCATGTTCCCTTAAGTTGCTTCTGTCAAGGTATTTTATCACAGCAATGTGAGAGTAACTATGATGGTACTAGGCTTATAGGTATGCACTCCCATACCTGGCTTGTAGTTTTTGGTTTTTCCTTTTCTTTTACAATCATTAACACTACATTCCTATAAAGTATACAATTAAGACTGAGTTTCAAGGCATCTGTCTCAGTTAGGGTTTTATTGCTGTGAAGAGATGCTATGACCAAGGCAACTATTATAAAGAAAAACATTTGACTGGGGCCGGCCTTCAGTTCAGACGTTTAAGTCCATTACCATCATGGTGGAAAGCATGGAAGCATGCAGCCCGACATGGGGCTGGAGAAGGAGCTGAGAATTCTATTCTACATCTTGACCCACAGGCTGAGAGGAGCTTAAGCATATATCGGAGATCTCAAAGCCCACCTCCACAGTGACACACTTCCTCCAAGGAAGCCATACCTCCTAATAGTGCCACTCCCTATGGCCAACCATTAAAACACATGACGCTATGAAGCCTACACCTATTCAAACCAGCACAGCATTGAAGGCTGAATCAAGTATACAGTGCTGAGGCAGTAAGAGGCCTGCTTCTCACCACAGCTCCAGGGTAATGAAACCTGGCAATCAAGTACACAATACAGTCATGGGCAGAAGCACTGTAGGACATAGTCCATGGAGCCTACACCTTAAATGAGATCAATGACAAAACAGAGCAGAGTACATATTAGATGACTATTGCAACAATAACCTGGATAAGTAGTAAAATCCTTTCACTCAGACTTGGATTTAAGAGAAAAGGTCTATAATAAAGTGAATTTTCTCAACATGAGCTACTGGTTTTTTTGTTTTTGTTTTTGTTTTTGTTTTTATTTTTTAAAAAGTCTATAAAGAAATTCTATGCCGGGTGGTGGTGGTGCACACCTTTAATCCCAGCACTTGGGAGGCAGAGGCAGGCGGATTTCTGAGTTTGAGGCCAGCCTGGTCTACAGAGTGAGTTCCAGGACAGCCAGGACTACACAGAGAAACCCTGTCTCGAAAAACCAAAACCAAAACAAAAATAAAAATAAAAAAAAAAAAGAAAGAAATTCTATACATCCTGACATCAGAATCTTTTCACTGTCAAGTAAGCAAGTTTCCTAGTACTCCAAAGATGGCACTGTAGTGCCCAAGTACCAAGCACCTGAAGGTGATCTTGTAAGAGAAATATAGGTGAGATGACATTCAGACATTAGACTAAACTTTTAGGGGTATGGTGAAATTAACAATCTAATACAATTATTTCTTTCTGAAACTCAAAATGGTTATCCTATTACTTTTTAAGAAGTGAAACTACCTCATGAGAAATTCCTGCTTTATTTATACAAGTATTTTCTCTGCTGGACACAATTTCCAGTTAGTTGTAAGTCAAAGTTTTATCAAACAGTTAAAAATACACAGTACTGAATATAGTTCAAACAGTACTGCTAACTATTTCAGCCCTCTTTATGATATCTACCTCTTACAAAGACATGAAGCAATTGTCAGGTACTATAGAGGAAATAAAGCAGGAAAGCCCTGTGCTCTGTGCAGCTTGCATTGCCTTTTACAACAACAGAAGCCAACATCCTTTAAATGTACTTTGGGGGGAGGAGGGAGAAAGTGGATAACATCTGAAACGTATATAAATAAAATAGCCAATAAGAAAAACCTTAAATATAAATCAATACAGAATGTTGTCATATAAATAGGAATTGACTATGTGTTAATACAACTCTGACATGTCTCTGAAAGTAAACATACACAAACATACAATTTCATAAAGCTCTTAAAAATTTTTCAGAATCATATTGCTAATAATAAAAAACAAAAGAGGAGAGGAGTCTTACTACATAGCCCTGGCTGTTCTTGAACTTGTCTTGTAGACCAAGCTGGCCTCAACCTCACAGAGATCCATGTGCCTCTGCTGGGATCAAAGGAAGGGGCCACCACACTTGAACACAAATCTTATTTTTGACACTATTATTATTTATTAAGAACATTAGAAAGTAAGAATGTCACCAGATTGTATAAGACAAATAACCTAATGTCTTAGGGTCCCTATTGCTGCAATGAAGACCAATGTCAGCTTAACAGTTGTTAATCAACCTCTAAAGGGAAGTCAGGCAGGAACCTGGAAGCAAAACCAGAGACTATGGAGGAACTCTGCTTTCAGGCTTACTTCTTATGGTTTTGCTCGGCCTACTTTCTTATACAACACAGAACTATGCCTGGGGGTGACACCACCCCACAGCAAGTGGGGCCCTCCCACATCAATCACTAAACAAGACAATACCCAACAGACTAGCCAACAGGCCATTCTTACAGAGTCATTTCTCTATTAAGAGTCCCTCTTCCCAGATTATCTCCGGGTTTGTGTCAAGTTGACAAAAGCCAACCAACACATCTACGTTTTAAAAGATAAACCAACAAAAAAAGAAATAAACTAAAGGGAACTCCAGAATGAGAGCCTTACATATACGACTCAATCTTGATCTTGTGTGTGTTCACGCACATGTGTGAGTGAAGAAAAGAATATCAAAAGCTATCGAAGTTTAAACAATGAGTAAGCACATGGCTGAAGGAGCAGCTGTCAGGTGCTTTGTAAGTGACAACAGTCCTGGAGGTTTACTATGAATCTTTGCCCTCCATGAAAATGCACTAAAATGCTTACAGATGAACTAGTTGCAATCAGCTTCAAAATAGTAGTAATTTGGGACCGAGAGGGCAATGCATAGTGAAAAAGAGAAGAATATGAGCTAATAATTTTCAAAATTGTGGTAGTTATCTTTGTCTTTTGTGTATATTTAACATTTTCTGGGTTGAAGACAGTGGGGGATAAGAACCTCACTGGCAAATCTATTTGACTACTGCTAACTCTTAAGTGAAAAGAATTCTATGTAAGGCACACACGGACATATTTGCTATTAAAAGACTTCCCCCACTTTCTCAGTTTAAGAAATACATATATAAAAGAATGTAATGGAATACATTTTACAGTGACTATTCAGAGAAACAGCTCTACGCACCCGAGTCGGGCCGCCCATCTGAGCTCCGGAACTCTTGCATTCTCTTCTCCAGTTTTTGCTGCCGCCTCCGTTTCATAACAACCTCAGGATTAGAAATCGTTCGAGTGAAGCTGGTTTCTGGCATGTCTTTGTAAACCTCGGCAGCCAGTCGGGAATTCTCACTGTAAGGAAAAAGATCACCAGCCATATTTTAAACTTTTTTCCTATTAGAAATACAAATATCACAATGCCAAATGTCATCTATCTACATCTGTCCCCTAACAGGCCTACTGTATACTCGTTACCATGTGCAAATTACCATGAGATTAAAAATAGTTTTTCTCAAATATAAATGCGCAGACTAAGAAATCTATCTAAACTTTTAGGTTTACACAACACAACTGTCTTGTGCTCATGAACAAAGCAATAAAAAGAAAACACATGGACCACGCATTTCAACTTCTAGCTGGAATGTGCAGTTCAGTCTCTAGTAGCACTGTGCTACAGCAGCAAACAATATTACAGCACAACATCCAAATACAAGAAGCCATACAGAGGAAGACCCTTACTTAAAATTATAGTAAATCTTAAAGAATCTAAATTAAATAGCATGACAGTTTTTAACACCTAAAAGATCCACCAACATTTGCTTTCCTGAAGTTAAACTTTCATAAGGATACTGCTCCAACAGTTTCTGCAAAGCAATCAACTGTACAAAGCCATGGGCTTTGAATATAAATACCTGAATAAATTTTAATGATATAAACATGTAATCATAGAAGTTATACTTTAAGCTATCAAGCTAAATGATATAATTCATCCTAAACAGTTCATTTTCCATAGCAAATAATGTAAAGGTAAACCAAGGAAAGAACAAGGCACACAGTGTGAGCTGAAATGTCTCCTTTCCTAGGACGTGTCCCATCTCTCAGATAACTACATGAAATAAGCCCACTTACTGCTGTTCACAAGCATCACCTCCTAGGGGGGCGATCCACAATGAGGCTGTTGCAACAGAACGTGGATGCCCAAGGTGCATCTGAATTTGAAAAGGAAAATCTGCTTTGGTCCCTAGTCCTGACCAGTTTGTATGTGCTAAACATGGAACCACAATTGCCTCTGGGACCAAAACTACAGAAGTAAGTTTCAAAGGACTAGCTGAAGACATGCAGACATCTAAAAGTAGTGGTCTGTTCAGGAAAAACAATGTTAACCAGTGTTTGCCTGGAGAGAGCAGAGTCTTCCCTGTGAGATAATGGGCACCTGCTAATAGAGTAGGGTGCCATGTTTAAACAAGGCCCCCCAGGTTCCCTGGAGGACCTCAGGTTTCCACAGCAAGACTGACATGACAGCCTCAGTCACTGTGCCACCAGTTACCAATAACTGAGGTAAGTTTGCTGTATTAGACACACCTGGTTTGTAGCTCAGAATGACAGAAATACTTCCAGAAAGACCTACCTGTCATCTCCTTGAGAAGGCCTTTCTTCCTTATCAGAGGCTTGTCTCAATGCCTCCTTCTCTCTCTTCTTTTTTTCCTTCTTTTCTTTCTTTGAGAGAGTTCTTTTGAAGTTCTGAATAACACCTTCTTTCTCCTGCTTTTCGGGTCCATTACTCTGAGTCTTCTGGGAAAAGCAGTATTATCACCACATTGACCACACCCAGGGACCACAGCAGGCTCCTCAGGCTCTGCTGCCGCCTCAGCCTCACAAGCCATGGATAAACAACTAAGCAAACTCAGACAGTGAGGGACCCAGGAGGGGAATGCACGTCACACCTTGACTAAGCTGACAGTAACATCTTAACATCTGTCACACCCCACGAACTCACATACAACATGGATATATTTCACTACATGTAAATTTCACTTCAATTTAAAACTAACAAGAAAACAAAAACCCAAATTCGGAATAGAAAATAGGGTACAACTTTTAAAAAAGAAAAAAAAAAAGAGTACAAACGAGAAAATCTGATTTTCACTAAGTAAAAGTCAAAAACCGTTAGCATCAAGTAACTAAGAGAAGGGAATCCAATGAAGATATAGAGGCAAGGAGTCTACTGAATAAACAGGTGTTTTTCTAAAACTACAAAAGTGTTAGCCATAGCTATAAGCTGGTTTTCATGGACCACAGTTGTACTTATTTTTACAAAAATGTCTGATTATTTTCCAGATCTTGTTTATTGGTGCTTATTTTAGTTTGAATTTCAGCCTACAAAGTTGGCCTGTTAATACAGATAGCTACATTGTTTTTAAGTAGCTTAATAAGTAAAGAAGAAAAAGACTACTTATGGCATAGAGGAGGGGAAGCCTTCCTCTGTTATAAGTGAGCTCAAGGGAGCAGCTGAAATAGAGAATAAACATGAATAGGAAAGCCATGGCCCCTTTCTACTTTACATACACTTGCCACAAATGCAGCCAGCCACCAGAATCCAGGGACAAGAAAGGCCAAGAGCATAGCTATGTAGCTTTACAGGGTAGCATGCAACATGGACACAAGACAACAGGAAACTCCTTACTGCTATGCCATAGCAACATTTTCACAAGAGGAAAATTTAGAAGATATTTTCAGCCTCTGTATTTGCTGCCACTTGTTAATACCAAAATATTGCATATGATGTCACTCAACTTAGCACAGGACTACATTTCAAGTAACATCAATGTAATAAATCAGCTGTCTCCTGCCTCTGGGACCTCCCCATCAAAGTGTGAGGCAAAACAAACTCTCCTTTAAGTTGTTTTTGTCAGACTATCTTATCACAGCACCAGGAAAGGAACACAGACACATTCATGATGGCATTCAAAGAGTCCAAAGAAGTTTTCTGATTCCTAATCTTGAACATGTAATATGAAAATGATTTAACTGTGCCTTAGGAAGTTGCAGATAAAACTAGGCCCCCAACATTTCCTTTGTCCCTTTATTTCCTATAGGAACTACTGTGGTTTTATATAATTTGGAAGAAAGCTGAAGATGACAAGCTCATCGTCAGCTCTGTCTCAGCACCATCTACAACTCTTCTTTGCAAAAGTGAGGAAGGGTGACTGGGTAGCCAGGTGAGATAGGGAAGAAAGAGGTCCAGCAGGCTGCTTTCCGCTAGCAGGAGGTGAGAGACTACAGAAGAGAAGCAGAGACAAGAAGCTCCTAGGACAGGATGAGCCTTGTCCACTCCACTGACCCAGCCCTGGGCTGCAGTTGGGGGACTGCTCCCACCTTGACAGGAATGGCGTCATTCTCGTTCTTAAGGACGAATCTACCCTCCCGATCATCTTTGTTCCAATTCAACTGTACAACTAGAGGTTTCTCATCAATGTCCAATCTTCTTTCTTCTTCAAAACATGAAATGGAAAGAAGAACAAGCCGTGGTCATTTCCTGGCATGAGCACAATACTGGCCATATGGCATACATTTAACTCTATATAAATAAAATACTTAAGTGCCTCGACCACCACCTGCTAAGAGACTGAAATGCATTGTTACCATTTTCAATCAGTTATGATTAGTTCAGCACTTTGTTGCTACTGTTCTACCATGCTGGTTCACTGACCAGATGGAATGTATTGTTAAGAATGTTAAACTGGTCTTAATTAGATGGACATTTTATTGCTAGTGGGTGTGTCTGTCACCACAGACCCAGTGCCAGACACTGACCAAGAAAGAACACTTCCTTCATTCAGATCTGAGAAAACAAGAGAGATATAGGTTTCTATATATCAATCTATCTCATATACAACTAGAAAATGAAATCAAGTTAACAGTATATACAATCAATTATTAATCAGATTTTCCTTATCTTGAAAAGACAACAGGGCATCACTTGTCTCAAATAACTGAGCCTTCCTTTCAGTGAAATTGTGCACGCACGCACGCACGCACGCACGCACGCACGCACGCACACAGTGGCACGTGCTCCCTACCCCCAATAATGATTGTGTGTGTGTGTGTGTGTGTGTGTGTGTGTGTGTGTGAGAGAGAGAGAGAGAGAGAGAGAGACAGAGAGACAGAGAGACAGACAGACAGACAGACAGACAGACAATCAAGTAAAAGTTTCTCTAAAGACTGAAGCAAAGGTTGGGCCTGGGATTTAGCCCACAAGAACAAAGCAGACATAAGAGACACTCAGCAACAACTGGCCACAAATAAGATCTGGTATGTCCAACTGGAGCAGAATTATCTTTAGTACCGACCAGACGCTAAAGAACTCTGGCTCCAAGTGGACTCCTGGTCTATAGCAGTTTGCTGCAAACCCTGTTAGTATCATGTGGATTGTGTCAGAGAAGTTCACCAACTTCAGGAGACACAATGTTCATCAGTAGTAGTTGTGATCAAGAATGAAAAGAATAGCTTTCTTTTCATTTATATATACTATTTTTTCAAGACCTGACCAAGCCTTTGTAAAGTACTTACCAACATCTGAATCTACATAATAAATGGAAGTCTATGCATTCTTTTGGCCTAGTGATACATATGCCATTAACAGATCACTGGGGCAATACAGATATCAGATACAGCTGGGTGGTAGGCAGCTTGCCTAGTATGCAAGAGACCCTGGCTTCTAGCCACAAGTGAAACAAAGAAAACAAGGAGAAAGAAGATAAAGAGCACATGAAGGAAGTGGAGAGGTTTCTGGAAAAATCAAAACCATGTAATTTTCAAAATCATGTAACCAATCTTTCTTATTATTCCAAATCACTTATTGATGGTATTCAAATAACCAAAGGGCACAAACAGCAGCTTCCTTTTCTTTGAAACCTAGTAACAGAGATTTGCAGCGAAAGGAAAAATTCATCTCCAAGAAAATCATCCCAAACTGGGAGCACCCTCTACAGCTGACTTTAGTCTGGGTATCACTTTAGCAGGGAATATGCTCACAATCATAAAGTAATAAACAAATATGGATCATTTTATATGTTCCAAAGAAAGATGATTACAACACTTGAAAATCCTATACATCAAAAATATTTCAGTCTTATTTCAAATGTGCAAAGAAAGCTGTGTATATAAAAATGAAGAAAAATGTATTATGTTTTAAAAACTTCACAGCTGGAATTTAAGAGGAACTGGGGTTGGGCCATAATCCTTTTTAGCAGTGTTTGTTGTACTTCACGCTTTTTAATATGTTACTATACATTTCCAAATGTACCTATAAAATATTTATACTTCTGGATTTCTAGTCAACTCAACTTGTAGTATCAAGTTGCAAGACACTTTGATTGACTGCTGTTAGACAGCAATTTCCTGATAGAAAATCTCCATCTTAGAGGAAAGCACATTAAGACACAGACTCTGCTAAAGGGATGTCAAATATTCCATCCTATAGGGAAGCTCCTTAAAGTAAACAAGTCAACAGTTTCAGGAAGTCCCTAAAGCTGATCAGAATCTCTAGGCTCCCTACCTGCCCAAGTATATGTAAGCAGTAAGGACTGCTAGATACTCTCAGACAAACTGAGCTAAGGCTCTGACCAGCAGAGCTACCTGGAAAAAGCAGAGACCAACCACACTGACCAGAAAGGACAATCTCCAATCTGCTGAGATGTGCGGTGTGCTACAGGCCAACTTTCAAGAACTGCCACCCATGCTGGAATAGCTTTTTGTGATGCAGCTGACTTTGAGTCATTTCTGTGCCTCTAAGTAAACCCTCACTCATATCCCTCTAAATGAGTCCAATAAAACTCATTGGTTCAAAAGTAATTGGACTTTGGTAGTATCTGTACTTTGGTATGCTATTGATTCTCTACCTAGAGTAAATTAAATTTTTTCATGTCCCCCCAGTAATAATCTCACACAACAACTGCTAATGTTAAAACAAGCAGAAATTACAAAATCTATAAGGAGATTTTCCTCAAGATGTCCTGCTGTTCCCAAGGAATGATAAAAAATGTGCTGTGAACAGAATGCCAAAATATGATGCTAAGATCCCTGACCTGATATGCACAGATCTGAATTATGAGTAGTTGTGACAGTGTTACCTACACCCAAGATTTCTTCCAAAAGCAAGGAGCACACAATACCACTGATATACAAGACATTCAGATCTCTGGGTGATTCATTTTAATGAAATGTTAATGATACTTATTTTGAAGAAATAATTATATATAAAATATACTTGTCGTAATTTCTAATAAATATTATGTGCAAGAACTTGAACACATCAAGTCTTAAAAAAGTTTGCCATCCTGTCAATCACTGTTGGGTGGAGGAAAGAAAGAAACAGAGATGAGCAGTAGCAAGTGGTTGACCCTAGGTCAGGACACAGCCTTCACTGACCTCCACTGACATGCACTTCATAGAGGGAGTACTTGGGAGAAGAGAGCATGCGCATATCAGGGCGGAACTTCTCTGCCAGTGTTTCAATCACATCTTGAGTGGTTGCTGTGCTGGAGACCCGAATACATTTTGTTGCAAAGTTTCCAGCAGCTTTATCTTGAAAATAAAATCTCATGACTCCATGAAACTCCAAATCCTACAAGAAAACAAAATGACGTTACTAAAAAAAGTTATTCTAAAATATTCACATTTTACTAAAAATGAAAAGTCTGTCCACCAGTTTTCTTCAAATGTTTATCGTGAACATCTTAGGCACCACCAATCTTGTCACAAATTAAAATCAATGACATTTTAAACTAATTTTCTATATGAATTATCACAAATAAATGAATACATTTTAGATATATCTTAAAATGTTATGGAGAAAATCCATGGTGGAATTCCAGCCCAAGGTGTTCCTTTTGTATATTCCTCCTAACTCTAAGGCAGGCTAAAGCCCATGCAACTGTGAGCTTCCTTCAATTTCTTAATACATCCAATAATTTCCAATGAAATTCTGAGCGATATCTCTAAGTGCGGGTTGCACACGTCTCTGGTAAGAATAAAGACTTAGCTGTGCTATCAGCATCATGCTCTCTTCTTTCTTCTCACCCTTTGTATCTAATTATTAAATAAAAGACTAACTAGGATTTAAACCAAAGTCTTTTTTATCTGGCGCGAGCGCGCGCGCACACACACACACACACACACACACACACACGCGACAGTGCCCCAGTTGAGATCAGAGAAAAGCTCCACTGTGTTAGTCAGCTCTCTCCTTCTGCCATGCTCCAGGTATGGAGCTATGCTGTCAGGCTCAATACCAAATACCCACCCTTCCTTACACACTGACCTGTATGAGTTGTGGGGATTTTTCCCTTCTCTCAGAAGTCAAATTCTCACTCAATGACTAATAAGCTTCTCCAGTTCTCCACAACCCATGATCTTTTCTGCAGTTATTAAAGGATTTTTTTTAAAAATTACTCATTTAATGAACAAAACGGAGTCTCTGAATGGAGTTAGCAAGTGGAGTTAACAAGTATATAGACATAAGAATTGAAGCCAAAAAGTGAAGCAGTCAAGTATATTTCTAGCCTAGTGTTTTCCTGGGCTTGTTCAGGCTTAAGCTATCAAGGAACCTTCCTAGTGTGTCAGTGGGAGACCACTAACCCTGAGGTAAAGAAGGCCACCAGGTATGGGATGAGGGCTGATGAAGTATAAGGAGTTAGCACTTGCAAGTGGAGTCCTGTTAGCTAGAACTGTGTGCTTAGTGTCTTCCATAAATTATAGCAACTGCCTCTTTGGTTTGGAACAATTAACAGAGCATAGCTAAATATTTAAAAGGCATGTTAGCTATGCTCTGTTAATATAGTATATTACTCTGGATGTCTGTCAGAACACATGTGGAATAAGTCTCTGAACCAGAACCTGAAAAAAAGCATTTCTAACATTAACTTGTAATACATACCAACCTTTGTACTAAATATTCTTAAATGGTACTCTCTCAGCTCTTTTTCTGCTACAGAGCCCCTCCCACACTCTAGCCCACTCGACTCAAATTTAAGTATCTTCCACTTCAGATTCTGGTCCTTTCTCTACAGATTTCTAAGACACCACACACGTGTGCACCCCAAGTTTGTAAGACTTTACTGTTAGCCTGAATATATATTTATAACACAGTGACCACTCTCAAATGTCCCAAACACTTGCACAACTGTTCTGTGTACCCAAAAGCTCTAACAGGTGTCACACCATAAAAGCAAGCAAATATCCATGGTACGTAACCATTCTGCTACAAAGCAGTGTTGTACCATTTACAATAATAGAAAAGTCAGATGGGGCCAGGCGGTGGTGGCGCACGCCTTTAATCCCAGCACTTGGGAGGCAGAGGCAGGCGGATTTCTGAGTTCGAGAGTTCGAGGCTAGCCTGGTCTACAGAGTGAGTTCCAGGACAGCCAGGGCTACTCAGAGAAACCCTGTCTCGAAAAACCAAAAAAAAAAAAAAAAAAGAAAAAAAAGAAAAGAAAAGTCAGATGGACCTAAGTCAAGAAGGCATCAGTTTCTCTGAGAACTGTCAACAAGTAATCCAAACCAGCAAGTATTAAAGAGACAAAACCGAGCAAACAAAGCAAAACAAACCTCACCCAGACACAGTGCTGTCACTAGTAAGTAGGCAGGGAAGGCATGCTCTCTAACATCCCAAGAACCAAGGGTTTATTTAGATGGGGGCAGACACAGAGAACCAGAGACAAACCACTGCACTGTCCTCACAGTGCAGTGTTATGTATTGTTCCACACTTCGCAGAGAAAGGAAACTCAAGTATAAATCTCACTGACCTTCCAAAAGCCAAAAAGGGAAAAGAAGAAAACCCAGGAGAGTGAGGGGACACTGGTGTCCTCACTCCAAAGCCACACCCCTGGGAAATGAAGGATACTGGTGTCCTCACCCAAAGCCATACTCCAAGGGAGTGAAGGAACACTGGTGTCCTCATTCAAAAGCCATACTGATATTTCTAATCAAACAATTCTCAAGGTCATGTCAAGCTGAAATAAAATGACCTATTAAAAAAACCACTTGTACATGACTTCAATTAATACTACTGAAGTGTTAACTGATAATTTAGTTTCATGTTCCACAAGAATAACCAGGTATAACCAGAACAGTCTCTTAATACTTAAGATTAACATTCTATTCAGTTACTTAGCCAATCCTAAATCTGGCTACTGTCAATAAGTCTACCAAATTTCATCAGACCTAAAAGTGATTAAAAAAAAAATCAATTCTTGAGCCTAAAAATTGGATTTAAAGTAACCTAATGGACAAATTGTAGTGATTATTATAATTAACATACAATAAGGGCTTACTAAATGTTGAGTGTTAAGAATTTTACATGTAATTACCAATCTAAGAGCTGAGTTCTATCAGCAGCAGCATTAAGTGGGATAAAACAAGAGTGGTTAAATGCACTGACCACAGAAATACAACTTCTGCCCCTGCTTCCAAAAGTATTATGCAATCCAAATAGAATTACGATAGTAATTATTTTTCTGTGGCCTTACATTAGATATAAGAAAAGTCTCAAAAGAAACAAATGAATGGGGAAGAAGACATCCGGAGTCCAGAAGCTATACACTCCAGTTTCCTTAGTTTTAAAAAACAAAACAAATAACCCTGGTGCTAGAGAGAAGGCTCAGTGGTTAAGAGGCTATTCTTTCAGAGGATGTGGTTCAATTCCCAGCACCCACATGACAGCTCACAACTGTCTGTAACCCTAATGAGGGACTCCACATCCTCAGACATACATGCAGGCAAAATACCAGTGCAAATAAATAAATAAATAAATAAATAAATAAATAAATCCTAGTATGTACAAGACCCTACTTTAATCCTCAATATTGTAAAAACAGTGGCCAGGCACATTAGTGCACTTCTATAATCTCTACATTCAAAAGGCTGAGGCAGGAGAGTATTGCTGTTTGAGTTGAGAGGGCTATGTAATAAGTTCTAAATCAGCCTGTACTAAATAGTAAGACTCTATGATAAACAGCCACCACCACTCAATAAACTTGGGGGAGGGGGGTGCATATGTGTGCATGCATTACATGTGTGGGACGACAAACAGAGGTCAAGAGTCATTTCCTACACAGCTCTCTACCCAGTTAGGCTAGAGTTAGTTGTAAGTTGCTAACTTCTGGCCTTTTATCATTTTATATATTAAGACAATATGTTCTAGTATTCATTATTTAGTACTTCTGAAAGGTGACAACTATAGCTCACTTCAAGTATACTGCCTGTGATGGTTAATCTCAACTGGCAGCTTGGGGAGATCTAGAATCACCTAGCAGGCAGCCTCTGGGCATATCTTCTGAGGTTCCTATCATTTTGTTAGCTGAGGTGCAAGAAACAAGAAGGGGAGGGGGAGAGTGCACACACAAGAAACCACAGTAAATCCCACCACAACCTAGGAGAAGGGACAAAGGTCAAGACTCAAAACCCTAAAGGAACCTGACACAATGTGACCTAGTGTGATAGAGATGCTCAGCTCTGCTTAAGAAATGTGCCACACGGCTACGCCTGAATCCACAGAGCCTTTAAAGCTGGAGACACTGACGAACCACCTTCACTCTGCAAAACAGCAAAGAAAATCCAGAAGTGGGACAGTCTATAGGAAAACTATTCCAGTGTTCTCAAAAAAGTCTATAGTATTTAAAAGCACCCTATGACCAAGAGGCAATTAAGACTAATTTTGAAAATTCTAATCAGGGAAATGAATTTCACCTGTTTGAAAATTTTAACATTTAAAAAGTAAAATAGTTATTTCGAGTGGTAGTGCATGTTTTTAATCCCAGCACTCAGGAAGCAGAGGCAGGTGGATTTCTTTTGAGTTTAAGGTCATCACCTGGTCTACAGTGAGTTCCAGAACAGCCAGGACTATGTAGAGAGTGTAGAGAGACCCTGTCTCAAAAAGAGGAGGG